CAACGTGAGTAGAAGAAACTCTCTAACTTCTTCCATTCTTCTTCCTTTGCTCTCTTAATCCCGCGTCTTTAAGGAGCAACCTTCATTTCCGGAACGCAATAGTCCCATTTCCATATAAGGTATGGGACTGACGGAAAGGTCCGTCCCCGCCCCATTCTGCATGCTGCAGCGAAGTGTACCTCCTCTGCGGCCCAAAGTTAAAATCTGATGTTCCTTTGAGGCCCTCAAGGTGGCGCTCACCCATGGGTTAAGAATCTCTGCTTTAAATAGTGCATTAGTGTTGTGATTGTATCTAACACTGTCGTTTTACATTCTCTATTTAGTGATGTAGAAACTTGTCACATAGTTGTACAACATCAGGGGACAGATCACAGAGAGCTGATACAGCAGGCTAACACTAACGTCCAAAGCTAATAGACCATTTTGTAGTTAAACATTGTTAAAAATGCGGATGTGCATCAGGTTTTTTGGGAAAACATTGATGTTTCTTTAGAAACGCCAGTGGAACTGAACAAATTCGAGCAGTAAACTTACACCGTTACACAGACCAGATGTCTTTGTTCTAAAATGAATTGTGTTAAACTTTCCTTTAGGATCTTACATAATATTTATCATAAATATCAAGTTACATATCTGATTTTTTGAGCTTATTGAATTTGCGCGTAGCCTTTGGCGTTTTCATGGAAACCTCAGCTTTTTCTCGTTTGATATGTGACCCGGCACAGTTAGGCCCCGCTAGTACTATAACTACTAGTTTAACTACGAAATGGTATATTATTGTGATTTCAGACATGTTGAAAATACTTTCAGTTTTGTAGATGTTTTAAGGTACATAAAGTTGCTTTTATCTTCTCCTTTGTCTGAATTTAGACTTTGTTTAAAATGTCAAAATATGAACAGGTTAAAGGTGCTCATCACAAAATATTTAATGTAAACAAACAAAGTGCTTTCATCTGCATACTTTGCCTAATAAATCTAAGCATAAATACAGGAATTCAATTTGTTGGACTTGTTTATGTTGTACGTATGACTTGGATTTATGTTAATCAGTCATTTTGGCTGTTTCATAATGTAAACAAACCCATGTGGTAGTATTTTTCTGTTATTTTAAGGACACTGAAATTGTCAATATAAAAAAGAAGTTTGCGCAGATTTTTTTTTGTTTCAAAGACAGCGTAAAGCTAACCATGTTTCAGCTGTTTAAGGCCTTGAAGCTGGTTTTTAATATTTCCACACATACTGCAACTCTAAAAGCCAATGTACAGTCCAGCAAAAACATGTCATAAATATGTGTAAATAGAACTTGTGGTAGTGTTATGGAGACAGATGATGTTATTTACAGTTGCAGAGTTACGTCGTCCATCACCTCACACTCAGGCGTGTATTCTAACGGACCATGCTGATATTTATTTATGCAACACCTGACTGATTACTTGGCGCATATTGATGAAGTGTACTGCTGTAGTGTTGGAAATACTAGAATATTGTGTTGTTCCCCCATTTCCCATGTTAGCCTGCTATATAGTGACCACAGCATAGTGAGAGAGTAAATGAGTTGAAGTGTTTGAATCAGAGTGATGGATGGGAGGAGCTTACCCTGTCACCCTTGATTCCCATGTCCCCCTTAAAGCCGGGGAAGCCGTCTTCACCCTGACATCACAAACAAACAAACAAACTTCAGTAACACAAAGTTATTTTTATTATTATGTATTCACACATAAACATACAAAGAAATCAACAAAGAGACCTGAGAGCAGAGCTCCAAGGAGCAGGAGCCCTTGTTGCCATAGAAACACTTGATAGGCTTTTTTTTCTCCTCTTTTTGTAAGAGCGAACTGCTCGAGTGTTTTAGACGATTAAACTGAGGACAATCAGCCACAATCATCACTGATACCAACCTATTAAGATGATGGAATCTGTCTCTCACCTTTTCACCTTTGTTTCCTTTGAGGCCGCGCACACCGTCAGCTCCCTGCGACGCACACACACACACACACACACACACACACACACACGAGTTAAAAACCAACCCAACACAGGGCAAAATAAGGTGCTCAAACATTGTTTATCATTAGAACAACAATCTTTTTTTTTTGTCCAAATTTGTCTCTTATCCAAAATTCTCCTGAACCAGTGGATATAGGGTTGGGCAATATTGGCAAAAAAAATTAATCACGATTAATTGTGGTATTTAGCCGAAAACGATTAATTTGACGATTAATCCCCTGGAGTCCCTGGACACCCTCATGTCCTAGTCACATGACCAATTTAGTGAAAAAATTTGTAAAAAAAATTTCCAAATTGTGTGAAAATTACAGATTTCAGGCTATATATCATATTTTAAATTGTGTTGATAGATAAATAAATTACAGAACTTTATTTTTAATGGTCGTCATATTTGAAGCAGAGAGGAGCAGGGAGCGGACTAACCGGAGTAATTCCCAGTCCATCTGCCTGGTGGCATTAATCGTATTAATCATCAAGTGACAAAAACTAATTGATTAATGTTTTTCTGATGATTAATTGCACACGATACGATTATGCCCAACCCTACCAATGGACGAGTGTCACTGAATTTAATGAAATTTGGATCAATTCTACACAACCAATTGTTCCTAAGAAACACAAACACAACTGTATCGCTTCAATTAGTTTAAAAGGTTTTTTTGCTGAAACTGGTGGTAGTAGAGAATGATCCTCAACACATAATTTTACAGCTTACAAGATTCTGTTCAAAATTTTGACAAAAACGATTTGGAGTCAGCTCAGCAAAATATCTCATGAACCACTATTTTTTTTATTAAACTCTAGGAAATAATCCCTCTTGTACGGTTACAGCTGATTAACTGTAATACAGGTTAAAAAGGCCACCACAGCTAATTAATAGCAGCTTTTAAAAAACATACTGTATACTGTATATACAGTGATCCCTCGTTTTTCGCGGGGGTTGCGTTCCAAAAACAACCCGTGATAGGCGAAATCTGTGAAGTAGTTAAGTCGGTACACCGGGTTCCCACCAAACGCGTTTGAGCAGCAAAAATGCACCCAACGCCTTGGATGCACTGAAGCACGTTCGGCAGCGGACTAAATGCTCGTCTGAAGAGGGAGGAACACCAGTCTGTCTTTAATGACAGGTGTAATAAAGATAAAATAAAGAAAATGGCTTTGCTTTATTTACTAAAGAGCAAGCGAACGTTGCGCACAGCAGATAATTAATTCACCAGATGATTTAGAGGCGGTCTGTTCGGTTCAGTTTCGCCACTCCAGGAGCTGCGAGCTGACTGATTTATTTTTTATTTTTATTTTTTCCTCCGGCAGCGTCTGCTGCAAAGCAGGAGGAAAGGAGAGCGGAAAAAGTCCAGAACTTATTTCTAGCAGCAGAACAGGTTGGAAGATGGTTATTTGGTGATATTTATTGTTTTTTAAATCATCCTACAGGCTCTGACATGTTGATAGCCTGTTGTGCACAGAGACTGTTTAGCCAATCAGGACGAAGAACACAATGCACTGTGAAAAACAAACTGCACAAAAAATCCGTGAAGCAGCGAGACCGTGAAAGGTGAACCGTGTTATAGCGAGTGATCACTGTAACTCAATACATTTTACAGATATTGAGCTAAAACTGGATCTGGTTGCTGAGAGTCATCCATAACATAAACTCTGAGAATGAGACTACACGTAACATTGTTTTTAAGGTTTAACCAAAAAGAGCTACAAAAAATTATTAGTGTAAAACTGTGTGCGATAAGCACTCCCTAAAAGAATGCTGGGCCCTTCATTTAAATAAACACAAAAATCCACCTCATTTAGTTTGTTTTTGTTCTTTTACGCGGAGGATCCAGAGGTCCCACTTTGACAAATCGTTCAGAGAGCTGATTTCAGTCGTGTAACAGAAGAATTGTTGGCAGGAAGCCAGAGCAGTTGTGTTATCCTGGATTAAACGGATCAGTCACACCTTCGTTCTCAGAATGATCTGATGGGATTTCTTTAGTCTCGCATCTGTCGACAGAAACCAGGAGAGTCTTGCTCCTCGAGCACTGCTCTGCTCGGAGTTAGTGTTTGATGTTTAAAAAGCTGTAAAAGATCTGATGAAATGTTTCCAACACTGCCTTCGTGACAAACAGAACCGATCCGGGAGGTTCCTCATGGGAACAGCTTCTTACCAAATCATTTACATTTACACTCAAACGTAAATAATTCGCCCTCCAAAAATCATTCACTCTAAAGCGCTGATATGGGTTGTTGTTATTAAGAAACAACCCACCTTTACGCCTCGGGGTCCAGGATAACCAATGGGTCCTTGAGGGCCAGCTGGGCCCTGGAAAACAAACAAACAAACAAACAAATGAACAAGATGCACCAACAGGGATAAAATCATCTGCATTAATGCAACAATGTAAATCTGTCTGAGCTCACCATGTGTCCTTTCTCTCCAGTTGGACCCTCTTTTCCTGGGTGACCCTGTAAAATATTAAGAGTAATATTATTATGAATCATTTTAGGATAATTGGCACCATAAATACTACAATAACCCAATAAGTGCGGGATTAGCAGTGGTAAGCACCACTAATCCAAAAAATGTGTTCCATGAACTCTTTTACAAGTTCAATCTACAACCGCCGATTGCTGGGGATGTGATTTCCTGAAACAGACCTTTAGCTCCTGGTGTAAAAATTAAAAAGTTGTTGAGGATTGCTAGTTTGGCTGCTTCTTTGTCTTTTTCTTTTGTTTGTTGTAGATTTTTTTATTACAAAAGCATCAATAAAGTAATTTTAAAACTGTTTATTGGAAAATTGAAGCGATGCATTCTGGGTACATGACGGATTTGATTTGTGACGGGAAACGAAAGCATGGAGTACAGGAAGCTATCTTCACTTCAAAATAAGAGCATGGATTTTAAAGTTTTCCATGTAGTTGCTCCAGTTGACCACTAGATGTCAGTCTTCATCAGCATAACATCTTTAAATCATTTCTGCGTCCATTCAGCAAACACCGTTGGCCGATTGCTTCGACCAATTACTTCAAGTATTGAGCTCCAGCGTTTACACTTTTTTTTTTTAAAAAGAAGGAGCTCCGATTGTAAAGTAAAATAAATCAATACATACAAAATTTTAGTATGGATTACAAACGTTAACTGTTTTAGCTGGGACAGAGAGTACTAAACATTGCCTTCCTGCTACGTAAGCAGACACAAAGCATTGTGGGAAATGAGAACCCAGAATCTGGGAGGGGTGCTGTTGGATAGATCATGTGTGTTGTGATTCATTGACAGCCATACCTTCCGCTGTACAAGATAATGATGTCTGGTAGATAATTAGTTAGCAGTCCTGCGTTTTAATTTTAGAAAGTGCAAATCTGCTAATGATTTGTAAAAATTAGTAAGACCGCTAAAGCGCAATGAATTATTTAGGTCCGCAATTAGCAGATTTGTGCTTTAGCAGGTTGGTGCCCACCACTGGGGATTAGGCTTGAAAGAAATGTGTACAAAAGGACCTGAATCAGGCGCAGGAAACCGGTCCAGTACTCAGTCCTGAATGTTTATTTACACACATATAAAGTTTACCACAGCCCTGTGGTCTAAAATTCATTTAATCAGTCACAAAATATCTAACAGGCTGTAAAAGTGCTGGAGGAGGAATTTAACTGGAAAATTTGGTAAGAGAGTCTTTCAAGTTCAATCTTATTTGGGATTTTTTTTCTGTGCAGAATGGCAGAAATAGAAGCAGGGATTACTGAGCTCTAAAAGGCCGGGGCTGCTGCTGGTCTGGGACTGTGCAGAAAGTGTGTATGAAGAAACACACAACTAATACACACATGGATAGCTGACAGAGTGGAAGTAAATGGATTGATTCATTAGAGAGACACTTTCTGATGAGCTTTTAGCATCACAGAGGAAACAAACACAAGGGAGGACGTTAAGTCGCATCATCTACAATATTTCTGATGAAATGCTGGAAGGAGCCAGTGAAACTTCTGCTCTAAATTCTGTAACTTTACAATGATGAAAGCTGCTGTATAAAATGCCTACATGTTGATGTGTGAGCTGTGCAGGGCTGTAGGGTTAAAGGCCCAGAGAGTCTGTCTCCTGCCACAGACATCTCACTTGTTCTTTTTGCCCTGCAGCTTTTCTTGCCTCTTGGTGTCTCTCAGGTCCAACCTGATGCTTTCCAGAAAACACCTGTTCTTTGTTCAGGTGTCTTTAATGTTTGTAATGTGTCGAAGTGTGTCTGCAGATGAAGTACAGTGAGTGTGTGTAGTGGGGGTGTGTGGGGGAGGGTGTATTGGTTAAATGAGGTAAACCAATCTAAAGACATTGTGATTTATTTAACAGACAGAAACATCTCAGAAGGAAGTTAAAACTCACCGGTGGACCATCTGCTCCTGGCATTCCTGGAAGACCCGGTTTTCCAGTTGGACCCTTAAACCACAAAATGTTACTGAAAATATGACTTCAAAAGAACTCAGAGAGCCCAAAGGCTCAAACATTTCTATTCATATTAGTGCAGCACTTCATAATAATGTCAAACGTAAAGTTTAAGTCTTGAAAACTATTAACATGTGAGATTTAATTCATTAACACAGTTTATTATTAACATAATAAACTATTCAGGCTAATAGAAACATAATTGTGGTAAATGGTCTGAACTTATTTAGCAATTTATCAAGTTCTTATTGGCTCCAAAGCTATTTATACTTCAGTCACACATTCACACACTGATGGTAGTAAGCTACATTGTAGCCCTGGAGCACACTGACAGAGGTGGGGCTGCCATACACCGGTGCCACCGGACCCTCTGACCACCACCAGCAAACAAGGGAGGTGAAGCGTCTTACCCAAAGACACAACAACTGAGACGAATTGAAACGGCAACCCACTGATAACAGGACGACTTCCCTAACCCCTCTACACTATGTTATAGAACATTATGCATTAAATACCCAATATGACTATGTTAAATGTAAAGTTAGAGGTTATTTAATTATAAATAAAAAGTAGTATAATTCTCATGGAATTTGCATTGTGGGATAATTGTTACCTTTGTCTTCTGATGATCATCAGTGTCTGAATAAATCTGTTTATTTCCAATTTCAAATTCAAAAAAGCTGGGATGTTGTGAAATGTAAATAAAAACAGAATGAAATGATTAAACCCACATTATATTTACAATGCAACATGCTTACTGTATCAAGTGTTTAAACTAAGAAAAAAAATGTAATACAAAATTTGATAGCAGCCATATATCTTAAAAAAGTTGAGACAGGGCAACAAAAATGTGTAAAACCAAGTTGTACAAATAAGAAACAGCTGGAGGAGCATTTTGCAACTAGGTTTGGCCTCTCAAGTTAAATGGATGAAAGGCTGCAGGGCTCATCAGTCTAAAAAATAGCAGAACAATTTCAGACTGTTTCTCAACAGATATTTGGGAAGACTTTGAATATTGCATCATTTGCAGTTCCTTATAGAAGTAACAGATTTCAAGAGTCTGTAGAAATCTCTGAGCTCAAAGGCTAAAAGTCAGTATAGGATGGTCATGGTCTTCAGACCCTCAGGGACCACTGCTTTTAAAACAGGTCTGGTTCTGTTCTAGACCTCAGTGCATGGACTCAGGAACACTTCCACAGATCACTGCAAACACAGATCACTGTAAACACAGATCACTGCAAACACAGATCACTATAAACACAGATCACTGTAAACACAGATCACTATAAACACAGATCACTGTAAACACAGATCACTATAAACACAGATCACTGTAAACACAGATCACTGTAAACACAGATCGCTGTAAACACAGATCACTGTAAACACAGATCACTGTAAACACAGATCACTGTAAACACAGATCACTGTAAACACAGATCA